ACTGTGGCTCTCTAGTGTCTGTAATCCTAGCTACTCAGGAGGCTGAAATCTGAGGATTGAGGTTTGAAGCCAGCAGACAAAGCTGAGAGATTCTTATCTCCGATCAGCCAGCAAAATAAATAAATAAATAGATAGATAGATAAATAAATGGAAAATCAAGAAGGAGAGCTGTAGCTCAAGTGGTAGAGTGCTATCCTGGATGGAGAAAACCAGCCAGTAAAAGTGCAGCAGTGAAGAGCACTGGACTGGAAAGTGAACTATACAATTCATGGGTGGAGATGGGAGGGAGGGACCGGGAGAGAGTGTGGGAACAGATGAGAATGTATGAAAGGAAATGTATTCATTACCTGATTCATGTAATTGTGATCTCTCTGTATGTGCATCACCTCTATAATAACAGTAAAGTAATTTTTTTTAAAGCCAACCAGGAGTACAAGACCCTGAAATCAAGTCCCAGTACTGGCACAATTTTTTTTTAACATTTTACAACTTAATGTGAATGGATATGAGTGTTTAATAGATGATATATCAGGGGGGCATGTGGTTCACATCTGTAATCCTAGCTACTCACGAAGCTGAGATCTGAGGATCATGGTTTGCCCAGGCAGGAAAGTCTATGAGACTCTTTGATAAACTATCAAAAAGCCAGAAGTGAGGCTGTAGCTCAAGTGATTAGAGTGCTAGCCTTGAACACAAAATTTTAGGGGCAGTCTAGGACTGTGGCTCAGTGATAGAGTGCTTGCTTAGCGTGCATGAAGCTCTTGGTTCGATTCTTTAGTGCCACATACACAGAATAAGCCAGAAATGGTGTTGTGGCTCAAGTGGTAAAGTGCTTAAGCCTTGAGCAAAAAGAAGCTCAGGGATAGTGCCAGGCCTTGAATTCAAGCCCCAAGACTGGCAAAAAAATTATTATTAAGAATAATAATAATTCTGGGCTGGGAAGTTGGCTCAGTGGTAGAGCGCTTGCCTTGCATGCCTGAGGCCCTGGGTTCGATTCCTCAGCACCACATAAGCAAAAAGAAAAAAAAAAAGCTGGAAGTGGCGCTGTGGCTCAAGTGGTAGAGTGCTAGCCTTGAGCTGAAGAGCTGAGGGACAGCGCCCAGGCCCTGAGTTCAAGCCCCACGACCGACCAAAAGAAAAGAATAATAATAATTCTTTCTGAGCTACCTAAAGAGGGGCTTGGTTTCCAGAAGGATGTTGGCCCAGGAGAAGTGGCACATACCATTGAAAGGGCCTTTGGAAGAGTCTGGCTCCCAGCCCCCCTCCTGAGTGACTGGGGGGGAGGGAAGGGGGGGACCGTCGGCCCCTCAGATCCCCAGTGCCATTAGCTTTTGCAAAGTCTAGGTTTTGAACTTTCCCTCCCAATGCGTCCAGCCCTCACCCCCCAGCTCTTTTTATCATCACACACCGGATAGAAGTCTGGCTGTAGTCAAAAGGTGGGAGGCCTCTGCTTCCTTCCCAGAGCTGTGCCCTGACCTTTGGCTGCCCCTTCCTGATTCCCCACCCCCACCCCCCAGCCTGTCTAATCAGATCCAGGCCTGACCTCCACAGAGGTCCTGGGCCAGGAGAGAAGGTCTCTGTCCTCCACTAAGCAGCCCTCCATCCGCCTGCCTCTCAGGAGATCCCTCCCCTCTGGGTGATTTATAGGGGTGTTTAGGAGTGTTTCCTGCCACTTCCTGCTCCTGGCCAATCCAAGGATTGCTGGGCTACGCTCTACCCCTTCCCCCGCCCCCCACCTTGGTTTGGTGGTAGAGCCCAGAGAGGCCCAGAGATTTCCTTCCTACTGATTGCCTGAAATATGAAGTAGTACTAGTGTGGGCTACAGTCATGGGGCTACCCCACAGTAATGGATCTATACTTAAATCCTTACCTACTCATGGCTCTCAAATGACTTGTTGAGGCCCGCCCTCAGCCCATCTTCTCAGGTAGCCCAGGAATTCTTTCCATAGAAAGACACCAGAAGAGACCATCCCTAGCCCCTAGCTCTGCTAACTCAAACCAGAGCAAGAACAGAATGATTCTTACTATTGATTGATTTTTTTTTTTTGGTGCCAGTCCTGGGGCTTGAACTCAGGGCTGCTGTCCCTGAGCTTTTCTGCTCAAGGTGCTACTACTTGAGCCATAGCTCCACTTCTGGCTTTATTAGTGCTTATTTGGAGATAAAAGAGTCTCAACTTGCCTGCCCAGGCTGGCTTCCTTCTATGATCCTTAGATCATAGAATGGCTAGGATTACAGGTATGAGCCACCACGCCTGCCTTCGCAGTGTAGTTGTGAGGGGAGAAGGTAGTTGCTCAGTAGAGGCCGGACTTCTCCATACCAGCCCCCCTGAGTAGCAGCCGCCGCTTTGCACTCTCCTCCTCTCCTCCGTGGGAGCCCAGGATGGGAGCTGGAGACACAAAAGGCCTGACTTCTTAATGAGGCGGCATCTGTACTCAGCAGAGCTATTAGTCCCTGCCCCAAGTCCCTGGGGGCTTCCAACTCCTCTCCAGCTGGAGTGAGGAGGAGGGGGCAAACAGCTCCCTAATACCCACAGGGGCCAGTCCCCCACCCCCACCCCCCAGGGTACAGATTGGAAACCTTGAGCCTGGGTGTCTTCTCCATTCTTTTGGCCTGTGGGTTGTCAAGGGTCCAAGGGAGCCTTTTTCCCAAGCCCCTGAACTGACCTGCTGGCATGTGTGTACTTGCACATGCCAGTCCTGGGGCTTGAACTCAGGGCCTGGGCACTGTCCCTGAGCTTTTGTGCTTCAGGTAAAGCCCCAGCGTTACTTCCAGCTTGTTTTGTTTGTTTTCCTGAAGTTTCATTGGAGTTAAGAGTCTCAGGAACTTTTCTTGCCTGGGTTGGCTTTAAACCACGATCCTAAGATGTCAGTGTCCTGAGTAGCTAAGATTACAGACACACTACACCAGTGCCTGGCCCTGCTGGCCTTTGGCCAGCCGTGGCCTTTGGCTTGGGGCTGGGCAGGCTGACCTCCCAGTGTATTCTGGGAATTCTCTCACCAAACCAGTTGGGGGTACCAGCTGGGTCTCCCCTTTGAGAGGAACCAGGGCACTGTTTCTAACAGCTTGGCTTGCATTGAGACATTTGTGATTGATCACCTATCTAGTCCAGGAACTACACACCGGCTATAAGGAGATGTCAGACTCAAACCCCCTGACGTGCACCATCAGGGTACGGGAGACACTGTTGAAAACACAGAGCCCGGCCCATGTGTGCAGAGAGCCACACACCCCTCAGCCACCCTCCCCAGAGGCTCCCTCAAAGAAGAGGAAGCAGAGCCCGAGATTTTTTTTATGCATGTTTATATTTAATGAACCCCATGCAAATGAGACAGAGAACAGTCACAAAGGAACCAGCCCCCAGAGACTCTGTGTAGGGCACAAAGACTTGCCTTTCTGGAAGTCTTGGAGTCTAGAACAGGCCTGTGGATCATAGGGGATGGGGACCCCAAGGAGGGCTGGCCTGGTCACACATCAGAGAGCCAGGATGGAGGGGAACTGGTGTCCCTCTGCTGGGGTGGGAGGAGGGCTTCTGGAAGGTGGGGGAGGGAGGGAGAGAGAAGACCCAGTTTGATGGAGCGCCGAGGGGAGGGGCTGCCGTCTGGACAGATGGTGTCCCGCCTTCCTGCACTTGATGCAAAGTGGATTTTAATGAAATCTCAGCCCTGGTGCTGAGCTGGTTGCCTGTGTGGGAGGGGAGGGGCTCCCTAGAGTGGGAAAGCGGGGGAGGGGGAACACTTAACCAGCCTCAAACTGGAGGGCAAAGGGATCTATCAGAGCCCCTCTCCGCAAGGGCTTTACAGAGGAGAGTTGAAGTGTGAGTTCAGATTCTCGTCTCCCCTCCCCCCTCCCCCCAAAGGTGGGGAGGGAGAGCGTGAATATTTATAACACATTGAAATGTAGATGGGTAGGTTTGACAGCCTTCTGAGGGGGTCTGTCACCTTGGATAGACGCACCCTGATTTCTAGGAGGGTGGGGGACATAAAGAAACTGCAAAGGAGTCAGGCGCTGGTGATGGCTCACTCCTACAATCCTAGCTACTCAGGGGAATCCGATCTGAGGAACCTGGTTCAAATCCAGCCTCGGCAGGAAAATGCCTGAGATTCTTTTTTTTTTGAATAATAAAATAGAAACCTTTATTACGTTTTGCATATCTTTTAAAATATGAAAAACAAAGGGGCAAAAAGTTTTAAAACTATTTTTTTACAGATGTTTCTTATCTCTGATGAACTACCAAGAAAGCTGGGCGTAGAGCTGTGGCTTAAGTGATTGGGTGCCAACCTTGAAAAGAAAAAGCTAAGGGACACCGGGTGCTGGTAGCTCACGCCTGTAATCCTAGCTACTCGGGAGGCTGAGATCTGAAGATCCAGGTTCAAATCCGGCCTGGGCAGGAAGGCCCCTGAGACTCTTATCTCCAATGAACAACAACAAACAGCAACAACAAAAAGCCAGAAGTGGAGCTGTGGCTCAAGTGGTAGAGCCCTAGTCTTGAGCATAAAAAAGCTCAGGAACAGGACTCAAGCCTCAGGGGGAGAAAAAATGGCCGCCAGACCTTAGTAATGAGGGATTGATGAGGCTTCCTCGCCCTGTGGAGCAACACTGGATTAAATCTGTCCCCTTTCTGTTCCTCAGTTTCCAGTTCTGTCAAATATGGAGCATACGAGTCCGGTCTTGCCTATGAAGGCAAGACATGGGAGTCATGCTTTCTCTAGTAAGCCTCAGATACTTCTTAAGGATGCTCAGAGCAGCCCAAATTGTCCAGCGTCTGTACAGACCTTTTTCAATGTCTTAGCCCAACCTGGGCCGCCTCGTATTGGGTGTTTGTACAGGTAGGAAGTTTGGGGGTCAGCTGGCTTGGCCTCCAAGCTTTTGCCCTACCTCTGCCAGCTCTGAGAGGACTCTGCCCCTCCGAGGGTGACCCTTCCCGATCCCTTCCCTCCCCCTGTCTTCCCTTCTGCACAGTGCAGGAAGCTTTACCTTGTGTTCTCGTTTCTTCCTCCAGCCATGTCTGATTTCCATGTGCACCCCCAGGCCACTGTGGGTGAGGAGGGGGGCGTGGCCCGCTTCCAGTGCCAAATCCATGGGCTTCCCAAGCCCCTGATCACGTGGGAGAAGAACAGAGTCCCCATTGACACAGACAATGAGAGGTAAGCCAGGTGGAGGGCTGACAGAGGTCAGCTGAGACTCTGCCTTCAGCTCAGGCTGTTTGTGCTGTTCCAAGGGGAACTCAGCATCCACAGGGTCTCAAGGCCCAGCTTCCAAGTTCATGGTCACATCTGTGAAGCCACAGTGGCCAGAGCTGTGATGAAGCCCGTGTCTCTAGGAAGTCTCCACAAGTGTCTGGTGTCGTGGAAAACTTGCTCATCATGTCTTGGACTGTATCTGGGGTATTTCCTGTGACTCCAGGTTCTAATGGCTTTGTCTCTCTCCCCAACAGGTACACGTTGCTACCTAAAGGGGTCCTGCAGATCACAGGACTTCGGGCAGAGGACAGTGGGGTCTTCCACTGCGTGGCCTCAAATATAGCCAGTGTCCGGGTCAGCCACGGGGCCAGGCTCACTGTGTCAGGTGAGATCTTTTGGCCAGTCACACCTGTGGGTGTCTTCATGTTTCTCTGACAAAATCCCTCTTGTTGGCTTTGGCAGCTTCTGGGGTGGCAGAGGAGGTACCGGGCTGGTTTCTACTTAGTTAGATCCATCTGGGAAGTCCAGCTTCTATCTGTCTTAGGGTTGGAGAAGAGGGATGGTTATGAGGAAAGTCCTTCCTGCTTTTCTGTTCACAGGATCTGTTTCTGGGGGTAGGGGGGTAGATAAAATGAAGAAGTAAGAAAGATCCCAGAGGCTTGGCACCGGTGATTCATGCCTGTAATCCTAACTACTCAGGAGGCTGAGATCTGAGGATTGCAGTTGGAGGCCAGCCCAGCCAGGAAAAGTCCTGTGAGCCTCTTGTCTTCAGTGAACCACCAAAAAGCCAGACGTGGGGCTAGGTCAGGCTCAAGTGGTAGAACACTAAGTCTTGGGCAAAAAAATAGAAGCTCAGGGACAGTGCCCAGGTCTTGAGTTCAAGCCCCAGGGCAGGCACATGAAAGTAGAAAGAGAGAAAGAAGAAGAAGAAGAAGAAAAAAGCAAGCTCCCATCGTAACTGAAAGGAAGGAGTAATGTGGCATTTTCCTTCCAGGCTCAGGCTCTGGGGCCTACAAGGAGCCGATGATCCTCGTGGGGCCTGAGAACCTCACCCTGACCGTGCACCAGACTGCCGTGCTGGAGTGTGTCGCCACGGGCAACCCAAGACCCATTGTGTCCTGGAGCCGCCTGGGTGAGCCTTACCCACAGCTCCTGCCCCTCTGCCCCTGACCCCCCTCCCCCCAAGGGTGGTCTCATCCTGGGACTGTGGGGGGGGGGAGGGGAGAGGACTTTGAATCCTGTTTGTTCTCTGTGGGGGGTTGATCCCTCCTTTTTCTGGCCAAAAACTGGGGTGTGCTGGGGAGACAAGATGGGAGAGGGGTCCATCTGCTTTCTACTCTCCCTTGAGTAGTGGCCTTAGTTAGCTCCCTGGGTTACTTCTGCCAGTCTTCCCTGAGTCTCGCCTCCCGCCCCCCCTCAAACATCCCCTCTGGTCTACAGTGCTCAGCACCCCTGTAGGTCCTGGCCAACACCTCCAACTAAGTCATCCCAAGCCCCTCAGACTCCCCCTGATCCTTCATCAAGCCTAGCCCCGCCTCCAAGGTCCCCCTAACCCCCTGAATCTCCTCGCAGCCAAAGGGTGCAGATGGTAGTCCAAGCGGAAAGGTCCCTGGGGGGAGCAGGGGTGGGAGGCATTCACAAGGAGACTCTGCCACATTGTAGCAGCTGAGTGGGGGGGGCGAGGAGGGGCAGCAGGGGATAATGGAGTAGATTTCACCACTTCAGGGCCTGAATGGAGAGCTGTCTCCTTGGGTTCTGACTGTGTTAATCGGATCCTGGGGGAGGGAGGGGGGGGGAACTGGGGGGGGGAAGGGCTGGTTCCTGGGAGATGCTGGAACAAGTAGCCTCATCCTCAGAAGAAGTGCTGCTGGGGCCATCTGGCTCGCTACCTCCATCAGGCAGGAATGGCTCATAGGCCTCACGCAAGACTAACCAAGGCCCTTGAACTGCAAGACTGCTCAGAGCCTTTGCATTCATGGACCTTCTGGACCTTGAACTCAAGGCCTTGGATGCTTAGATGCTGTCCCTTAGCTTTTACCACTCAAGACTGGTTTTCTACCACTTGAGCTTTACTTCTCTTTTTCTTTTCTTTTTCTTTTTAATTTTTGCTGGGTAAGAGTCTCTTAGAGGGCTGGGAAGGTGGCTTAGTGGTAGAGTGCTTGCCTTGGCATGCATGAGGCCCTGGGTTCCATTCCTCAGCACCACATAAACAAAAAAGGCCGGAAGTGGCACTGTGGCTCAAGTGGTAGAGTGCTACCCTTGAGCTGAAGAGCTGAGGGACAGCGCCCAGGCCCAGAGTTCAGGCCCCACAACCAACAACAACAAAAAAGTCTCTTAGATAAGCTGGGTTGCCAGTGGCTCAAGCCTGTAAGCTACTCAGGACGCTGAGATCTGAAGATCAAGGTTCCAAGTCAGCCTGAGCAGGAATGTTCCTAAGACTCTTATCTCCAATTAACCACAAAAGCTGGAAGTTGAGCTCAAGTAGTAGAGTTCTGGCTTTGAGCACAAAAACTCAAAGACAACACTCACACCTTGAATTCAAGCCCGGAGACCAGTCCAAAAAAAACAAAAACAAAAAACATAGCTGGCTTCAGCTTTCTGGATAGCTGGAATTACAGGGGTAAGCCGCCAGTGCTCAGCTTAGAATGACTGTTTGGCCTGAGAACTTGTATTTCTTTCTTGCTTTGTTTTTTTTGTCAGTGTGACTACTCCCCTGATCTCCTTCCTTCTCTTTCCCTCGGCTTCCTTTGCAGATGGCCGCCCCATTGGGGTGGAAGGTATTGAGGTGCTGGGCACTGGAAACTTGATCATCTCAGATGTGTCCGTCCAGCACTCAGGTGTCTACGTCTGTGCTGCCAACAGGCCTGGCACCCGGGTGAGGCGCACAGCACAGGGCCGGCTGGTGGTGCAAGGTATGGACTGAGAGCCAGGCCCATCCCTGGTCAGTGCCCAAGCCCAGGACCCCATATCCCCCCATGTCCTGTTCCCAACTCTGTCCCTGGCCAGGCCAGGCCAAAGGCAGTTGCTGCTCTGTTTGTTAGACTCAAAAAATCCCCCAAAAAGCTGGGTGACACAAGTGCATACCGGTAATCTTAGCTACTCGGGAAGCTGAGATCGGAGGATCAAGGTTTGAAGGCAGTCCATGTAAGAAAGTCCATGAGACTCTTATCTCCAATTAGTGACTAGAAAAAAAAAAAGCTGGAAATGTGGCTCAAGTGATAGAGTGCTAACCTTGAGCAGAAAAGCTCAGGGACAGTCCCAGGCCCTGAGTTCAAGCTCTTAAAACTGGCATTAATGTATCTATATCTCTCTAGCTATCTAGATATCTCCAGGTGCTAGTGGCTCACACCTGTAATCCTAACTATTCAAGAGGCTGAGATCTGAGGATTGTGGTTGAAAGCCAGCCTGGGCAGAAAAGTCCGTGAGATTATTATTATTTTTGTCAGTCATGGGGCCTGAACTCTGGGTCTGGGCGCTGTCCCTCAGTTCTTCAGCTCAAGATTAGCGCTCTACCACTTGAGCCACAGCGCCACTTCTGGCTTTTTCTGCTTATGTGGTGCTGAGGAATGGAATCCAGGGCCTCGTGCATGCAAGGCAAGCACTCTACCACTGAGCCACCTTCCCAGCCCAGAGACTCTTATCTCTAACAAACCACCAGAAAACCAGAAATGGACACTGGGGCTCAAAGTGGTAGAGTATTCACCTTGAGTAGAAAGAGCTCAGGGACAGTGCCCAGGCCTTCAGTTCAAGCCTCATGACCAACAACCACAAAAAGTCACTGAAAATAAGCAAAGAAATGTCTCAAAACCAGTACAGGTTTAATTCAGGACAGAGGCCTGCCAGAGGGAGTCTCGAGTGAAAAGCTAGACTCTACAGCCACCTATAGACTGTAGGTTTTTTTTGATTTTTGTTTTTGCCAGTCCTGGGGCTTGAACTCAGGGCCTGCGTGCTATCTCTGAGCTCTTTTCCTCTCAAGGCTAGAGCTTTACCACAGCTCCACTTCCAGCTTCCTGGTAGTTATTTGGAGAGTAGAGTCTCACAGACTTTCCTGTCCAGGCTAGATCCTCAGATCTCAGCCTCCTGAGTAGCTGGGATTACAGGCGTGAGCTAGTTGCACCCAGCTTAAATGTCAGTCCTGAAAATGGAAATCCCTTCCTGGATTGGCCAGGGGGGTAGAAGAAGGGCTTCCTCCTTAGCCCAGCAGTATGGAGGCTGGCCTTCCTGGGGAAGCCTCTTGTCCCATCTTATCCCTTGGTCCTTCTCCCCCCCTTGGTCCTCATTGGTGACCCCACCTGCTTCTCTATGCCCACCCAGCACCGGCTGAGTTTGTGCAGCATCCACAGTCAATATCCAGGCCAGCGGGGACCACAGCCATGTTCACCTGCCAGGCCCAGGGCGAGCCCCCCCCCCATGTCACGTGGCTGAAGAACGGACAGGTGCTGGGGGCAGGCGGCCATGTCAGGCTCAAGAACAATAACAGGTGGGTACAGGTGGGATTTTTTTTTTTTTTTTTTGCCAGTCCTAGGGCTTGAACTCAGGGCCTGAGCACTATGCCTGAGTTCCTTTTGCTCAAGGAAGGCTAGCACTCTACCACTTGAGCCACAGCTCCACTTCTGGCTTTTTCTGTGTCTGTGGTGCTGAGGAATGGAACCCAGGGCTTCATGCATGCTAGGCAAGCACTCTACCACTAAGCCATATTCCCAACCATCCTCCCCTTTGTGTGTGTGTGTGTGTGTGTGTCAATTGTGGAATTTGAACTCAGGTCCTAGGCGCTGATCCTGAGCTTCTTTTGTGCAAGGCTAGCACTCTACCCCTTGAGCCACAGCTCTACTTCCAGCTTCTTGGTAGTTTGTTAGAAATAAAGAGTCTCATGGACTTTCTCCTACCTAGGCTGGTTTTGAGATCCTCAGATCTCAGCTTCCTGAGTAGCTGGAATTACAGCTGTGAGCTACCAGTGCCCAGCTGAAACTGGTCCCTGTATACTGGCGAGCCCCACAAGTCGCTTGTGCCCTGGTGGGACTCAGTTTCTCCATCTGTCTGAGGCTTTCTCTCCCCCTGCAGCACACTGACCATTTCCGGAATCGGTCCTGAAGACGAGGCCATCTATCAATGCGTGGCTGAGAACAGTGCGGGCTCCTCTCAGGCCAGCGCCAGGCTGACCGTGCTGTGGGCCGAGGGGCTGCCCGGGCCCCCTCGCAATGTCCGGGCTGTCTCGGTATCATCCACTGAGGTCCGGGTGTCCTGGAGCGAGCCACTGGCCAACACCAAAGAGATCATCGGCTACGTCCTGCACATCAGGAAAGCTGCAGGTAGGCCTTGTGCGTGGAGAAGGTTCTGTTTCCTCGTCTTCTCCATCCTGTGGGTCCTGCCCTAGTGCCTTTCCTTTCCTTCTGCCCCCTGTTCTTTGCCCACACCCTTATTTTCATCATTGCTGCCAAGACTCCCTTCTGGGCTGAGAATGTGGCTCAGTGGGAGAGTGCTCGCCTAGCATGCATGAAGCCTTGGGTTCGATTCCTCAGCACCACATACACAGAAAAAGCCAGAAGCGGAGCCGTGGCTCAAGTGGCAGAGCGCTAAGCTCAGGGACAGTGTCCAGGCCCTGAGTCCAAGCCCCAGGACTGGCAAAAAATAAAAATAGAGACTCCTTCCTGTCCCAATCTTTCCTCTCCAGATCCTCCCCAGCTAGAGTATCAGGAAGCCGTGAGCAAGAGCACCTTCCAGCACCTGGTGAGCGACCTAGAACCTTCCACGGCCTACACCTTCTACATCAAGGCCTACACGCCAAGAGGGGCCAGCTTAGCCTCTGTCCCCACCCTAGCGAGCACCCTGGGGGAAGGTGAGACCATAGCTTCACAGGATGATGAACCACCCCAGATATGTGGTGAGGTTGGGTACTGCACCTGGTACCTGGTCCTGAGGCCGGGTAGGTGTTGTCCACTGAGGTTCTATTTGGAAGAAGGAATGTTTTATGTTTTGGTGTACCCAGCCAGGCACACTGGTGGCTCATGCTTGTCATCCTAGCTACTCAGGAGGTAGAGATCTGAGGATCGAGGTTTGAAGCCAGCCTGGGCAGGAAAGTCTGTGAGATTCTTATCTCCAAGAATCACAGAAAAATCCAGAAAGGGTACCCTGGCTCATGTGCTAGCACACTAGCCTTGAGCAAAAGGAACTCAGGGACAGGGGCCAGGCCCAGAGTCCAAGACCCAGGACTGGCTAAGTAAATAAATAAATGAAATTATGTGCTGGTTCTGGAACTCTGGGCCTGGGTGCTGTCCTTGAGCAATTTTGCTCAAGGCTAGAGCTCTGCCACTTGAGCCGCAGCTCTACTTAAGGCCTTTGGGTGGTTAATTGGACGTCAGAGTCTCACCGACTTTCCTGCCTGGGCTGGCTTTGAACCTCGATTCTCACATCTCAGCCTCCTAAGGAGCTAGGATTATAAGCATGAGCCACCAGTGCCTTCTTTTCTAATTCATGGAATGGGGTAGTTTGAGGAATCGGTACATGCTCTAAGTCAGAGGCCAGAGAGCTGGCAGGTTCTTGGGGGGGGGGGGGGGCGGGTGGATGAGTCTGGGTCACAGGGAGGAGGTGGAAAGGTACAGCCATGACTGGAACCCTCACATCCTGGTCTCCTCCCGCAGCCCCTGCCCCACCCCCACTGTCCGTGCGCGTGCTGAGCGGCAACTCCCTGCAGTTGCTCTGGGAACCCTGGCCCAGGCTGGTCCAGCGTGAGGGTGGCTTTAAACTGTTTTACCGCCCAGCCAGCAGGGGCTCCTTCACCGGCCCCATCCTGCTGCCAGGGACAGCCTCCTCTTACAACCTCAGCCAGCTGGGTGAGTGAGGGGTACAATCAGGGGCTGGGTGGAGGCAGCATGCCTTCCTATCAGGACGGGGCTGCCTACTAGAGATGGGGTAGTCTCTCAGCATTCCTGTGTTCCCCAGACCCCAGTACGGTGTATGAGGTGAAACTGCTTGCCTATAACCAGCATGGAGAGGGTAATGCCACCGTCCGCTTCGTGTCTTTGAGAGGAGCATCTGAGAGGACTGGTGAGGGTTGGTGGGGGGCAGTGGGGGAGGTGGGGGGGGCAGTGGGGAAGGTGGGGGGGGCAGCAGATGGCACTCAGGAAGACCAGGGCCTGAAGGAGCGGGCAAGCAGGCAAGGTAGGAGGGTGACACGGCTCAGATCTGTGTGACCTTGATCGTATGGTTTCACCTCTCCAAACCCCAGTTTTCTGTAGAAAACAGGGATGATGGCCGGGCATTGGTGGCTGAGGCCTCTCATCCTAGCTATTTAGGAGGCTGAGATCTGAGGATTATGGTTCAAAGCCAGCCCAGTCAGGAACATTGATGAGCCTCTCATCTCCAATTAACTAGCAGAAAACCAGAAGTGGTGCTGTGGCTCAAGTGATAGAGCGCTAGCCTTGAGCTGAAGAGCTGAGGGACAGTCCAGGCCCAGAGTTCAAGTCCTACAACTGACAAAAACAAACACACACAAACAAAACCAAGGGTAACATTTCCTACTGTGGGTCCCAGAGAACAAAACTCTAGAATCTGGTTAAGGGATGAGGAGTCCCTAGAAGCAAGGAGTCTGTGAATCCCTGAGGCCAGGAAAGATCCCCCAGCCCCATCCTGGGCCTGTCCCCTTCCCTCCAGCCCTGAGCCCGCCCTGTGACTGCCGGAAGGAAGAAGCCACCAATCAGACATCGACCACGGGCATCGTCATCGGCATCCACATCGGGGTCACGTGTATCATCTTCTGTGTTCTCTTCCTCTTGTTTGGCCAAAGGGGCAGGTGGGCCCGGGGTCAGGAGGAGCGGGGCCGGCCTGGGGTGGGACTTGGGGTGGGAAATGAGGAAAAGCCCTGGCAAGGAGACCATTTGGGGTTCAGTCCTCTCGTCTCATTCCTTTGCCTCTGCTTCTCCCTGGATCACCCCCCACCCTAACTTCTGGCTCCCCCTTTATTAGGGTCCTCTTGTGTAAGGATGTGGAAAACCAGCTCTCTCCCCCGCAAGGTCCCCGCAGCCAGAGGGACCTGGCCCTGAATGGAGGGAGACAGGGAGAGAGGAGCCAGCTGGGCGGCGAGGAAAAGCACATGGATGCCAAGGAGTTGGAGCAACTGTTCCCTCCAGCCATGGTCGGGGGGCAGCCTGGGCCTCGGCCTCTGGTAAGAGCTCAGGCCTCCTCTCCTGCTTTCCTATGTCTGATTATTTATTTACTTATATGTTTGTTTGTTTATGTATTTATGTATTAGGTGCTGGTCCTAGGCTTGAACTCAGGGCCTGGGCACTGTCCCTGAGCTCTTTTTGCTCAAAGCTAGGAGTACTCTATCATTTTGAACCACAGCACCACTTCCGATTTTCTGGTGGTTGGTTGGAGATAAGAGTCTCCGGCTGGGAAGGTAGCTCAGTGGTAGAGCGCTTGCCTTGCATGCCTGAGGCCCTGGGTTCGATTCCTCAGCACCACCTAAGCAGAAAAAGCCGGAAGTGGTGCTGTGGCTCAAGTGGTAGAGCACTAGCCTTGAGCTGAAGAGCTGAGGGACAGCGCCCAGGCCCCAGGACCGACAAAAAGAAAAGAGTTTCACAGACTTTTCTGCCCAGGCTGGCCTTGAATTGTGATCCTCACATCTCAGCCTCTTGAGTAGCTAGGATGACAGGTGTGAGCCACCAGCACCTGGCTCCATCTCCTCTTCCATAGATCTTGGGCATTGGCCTTGATCACCAGCCAGGTCTTTTTTGGGTACAGGACTCTGGGTCAGTGCTTTTTTTTTTCCTATACTCTGCAGCTGGCAGGAGGCCTGAGGGAAAGAAGGGGTTCGGGTGTGTGTGGTGGGGGGAGTTCTCTGGCCTCCAAGCTGACGCCTAGCTGCCTGGCTGTTCCACAGGATCCTGCAGCCCCTGCCCTGTGTGAGGAGTCTCAGTTCTCCGTGGGGTCACTTCACAGCTTCAGCCTTGTGGATGGGAGGACACCAGAAGCCAGGACCCCCTGTACAGACCCCGAGACTGCTCCACCACCCCAGAACCCAGGCCGGGGCCTCCTCCAGGAAGGACAGACCGCTGGCCTTCCCTAGCCCTAACTGGCCATCCACCTCACCAGGACCAGTAGTAGCCAGTGCTTGGCAGGCTCTGGGGGGGGGTAGCCCCTCTCTCCCCCCCCCACCCCATTCTCAGGTCAAGGGCGACATTTCTCCTGTTCTGTGGGTTCCGATGGTCCCGCCTTGCCCAGCTTTTCTGGCCTGATTGAAGGACAGGGTTCTAGAAACCCTCAGAGCCAGAAAGTTGGGATGGGGTGGGGAGGGAGCAAGAGGGAGAAGGGTCCATCTGGAGGTATACCCTCCCCCCCCCACCATTGCCCACCCCCCCCCCCCCCCAACTTGGAACTGAGTGAATGTTTTCCTCTCTCATACTGAAAACTTAGAATCGCAAGGAGAAGAGAGGCAGGCGGATTGACTCCAAACCTCGGCCCGCGCCATGGCTGGGCCCGGCCTCTGTCTCCTCTGTGGCCGCTTTGTTTCTCAGGATGGATTGATTCTTGCTATTGAGCTCTGTGCACCTACCTCAGCCGGAATGAATGTCTTGGGGAGGGGGGGGCCTCAGCTCTCTGTACCCCCAGCCCCCCCCAGAGCCCGAACGCACTCCTACCTCAAGCCCCTTTTATGGATACCCCCTTTCCCTTCCCATGTTGTCTAGAGTTTAAAACAACAACAACAACAAAAAGCCGGGTGCCAGTGGCTCATGCCTGTCATCTGAGTTCCTCAGGAGGCTGAGATCTGAGGATCAGGGTTCAAGGCCAGCCCCGGCAGGAAAGTCTATGAGAGTCTTCTTACTAATAAACGACTCAGAAAAGAAAAAGCCGGGAGTGGTGCTGCGGCTCAAGTGGTCGAGCGCTAGCCTTGAGCACAAAGAGGCTTAGGGACAGCGCCCAGGCCCTGAGTTCAAGCCCCAGGACCGGCATCAAAAATTTTTAAAAAAATTTAAAAAAAGAAAAGAAAAGGAAAAAAAAATCTTCTCTATTTCCAGGTGTGAAAGATAAGTCTACCTCAAAGCCCACCACAGTGGGTTCTGTGTGCTGTCTCCTGTGTTTACCCCTGCTTTTGCTTGTTTATTTGTTTTTTTGGATTGTTTTTTTTTTTTGTGCCAGTACTGGGGCTTGAACTCAGGACTTGGGCACCGTCCTTTAGCTTTCTTGGCTCAAGGCAGGTGCTGTCTACCACTGGAGCCACAGCTCCAAAATGCCCACATTTTGGGGTGGTTCATTGGAGGTAAGAGTCTCACAGATCTGTCCACCTGGACCTGGAAGGGGTGAGATACCACTCCATAGTCTGCCCCTGCGAGACTCCTGAATGTACTGTGTGTGAGATGGGGTGTGGCATCATGCACCCCACTTTGTATGACATAGAACGGCCACCAGACTCACCTACCCGTCGGACAGTGGGCTGGCCGATCGATTTTGGCCAGGAACTATTTTTATACGAGGTGTGTTTAAGGGTTCTGTTCTTGTGACTTTGTTTCTCCTTTTGGTTGTGTTCCTTGAACTACTTAGATTAAAAAAAAAAAAGGAAGAAAAAAAAAAGGAAGAAAAAAAAAAAAAAAAACCCTCAAGACTACAAATACCTATTTTTGGTTACACTCAGAATCTTTTTTTTTTTTAATAGCAGAAGGAAAACTTTTGTTTTTAAGAAAAAGAAAAAAGTGATATAAATATATCTATAAGTGTATTCCTTAAGAATGAAACTAGGAATGTAGTCCCTGGCCCCTCCCTCCCCCCCTAGGGACACCCCAACATTAGAGGATTAGCTGAGCAAGGTAGAGTTTTGTGGTGTTTACCTAGGAAACTAGAGAGTCGTGTCTGTACGAATTAAGGAAGTGTGGTCTCTCCCTTCTCCCAAGTGATGGGCAAATACTGGGGCTTCTGCTGGCTCTAAGATCTAGCCCCTCATCTTTGTAGCCCCTGAACCCACTTTTCTCCTGAAACCCCCTCTCCCTTGGGAAGGGAGAGGAAGTGGGAGGGGCTTGACCTGATTTTCTTTTTCTTTTTTTTGTCACTCACTACTCCTGTTGACTGAATAAAAGTCCTCTTTGCCAAAGTGAACCTGGGAGGTTTTTATTTTTTAGTGCTGGGGGTGGCTGTGGAGGGGGTGGTGTAGGGCAGAGAGATGGGGTGAACTCATGAGTACCTGGCCCCTCAGGAAGAACCATTTTCCTGAAGCCAGGTGCTTAAGGGTGCTGCGTGTTTACCCTCAGCCATGGAGTTGGGCTTAAAGGGGCTGGCAGCCTGAGCTGACCTCAGGTTTATGAATGAAGCAGCTGAGACAGAAGGCTGGACTCGCCTCTGGAAGCTGAGCTGGGGTTCAGACACATGCACAGGTACCTTTATTATTATTATCATTATTATTATTATTTGACCTAATACTGTGCCCTGAACTCAGGGCCTAGGATTGTTCCTGAGCTGCTTTTGCTCAAGGCTAGCCCTCTACCACTTGAGCCACAGCACCACTTCCTCTTTTTCTGTGTATGTGGTGCTGAGGAATGGAACCCAGGGCTTCATGCATGCTAGGCAAGCACTCTACCACATTGAAGCACCTTCCTAGCCCTGCTCTGGGTGCTTTAAAACATGCCCACAGGGCTGGGAAGGTGGCTCAGTGGAAGAGTGCTTGCCTTGCATGCACGAGGCCCTGGGTTCAATTCCTTAGCACCACATAAGCAGAAAAAGCTGGAAGTGGCGCTGTGGCTCAAGTGGTAGAGCACTCGCCTTGAGCTGAAGAGCTGTGGGACAGCACCTAGACCCCGGGTTCAGGCCCCACGACCAACAACTACAACAAAAAAAAGCTGGATGTGAACTGAGCTCTGGTGGTTCATGCCTGTAATCCTAGAAGTGGTGCTGTGGCTCAAGTCGTCAAGTGGTAGCCTGGGAGCAAAAAAGCTCTGGGATAGTGCCCTGAGTTCAAGCTCCAGGACTGGTACACATACACAAAGAAAGGTCTGATGGTTTAATTCCGGTGCATAGGGGCACATGCCCCTCTGAATGCCTGGAAAGGCCTTCTTCACTGCCTACTCCCTCTCCTCTTAGGCAGAGGGCAGACTGTGTAGGCCTAAGAGTAGAATAAAGAAGAAATCCATAATCCATTTAAGGGACTCCTCCCTCCTCCCTTTGGCCTGGCCTCCCTAGAGTCAATGGAACCTCCAGCCTCAGTAGCCTGTAAATCCTGCACTTGGGGAAGAGGGGCTGTGTCTGGAGGGGTTTGCTGCCATCTTGTGGATGCAAAGAATTACTGCATGGAAACAAGCCTGAGTTGTACGCTGCTCTGATTGAATTTAACAACGGAGATGTGTTCACCCTCACCCCTACCCCATCACACAAAGCCCTATAGAGGGTGAGCTGACGGTCTACAGGCTTGAATGCAAATAGCCACAAATGTCCAGATTTTTTTTTTTAATGTGTGTTGGTTCTGGGCCTTGAATGCAGTCCTTGAATTTTTTGCTCAAGGCTATCAGGCTACCACTTGAGCCACATTCTGGCTTCTCCCCTTTGGTAGTTTAGTGAAGATTAGAGTCTTCACAAGGAAACTGGGTGCTGGTGGCTCACACCTGTCATACTAGCTGCTCAGGAGGCTGAGATCTGAGGATGGCAGTTCAAAGCCAGCCTGGGCAGCAAAGTCCATGAGACTCTTACCTTCAATTAAACACCAGAAAACCAGAAGTGGCGCAGTGGCTCAAATGGTAGAACACTTGCCTTGAGCTGAAGAGCTGAGGGACAGCGCCCAGGCCCAGAGTTCAAGCACCATGACCAACAACAACAAAAAATTTTTAAAGCCAGCTGCCAGTGACTCACGCCTGTAATCCCAGCTACTCAGGAGGCTGAGATCTGAGGATCACAATTCAAAGCCAGCCTGTATAGGAAAGTCTATGAAACTCTTTTTTTCATTTTTGTTTTTGTTTTTTCAGTCGGGGAGGCTTTGTTCTGGGCTTGGGCGCTATCCCTGCGCTCTTCAGCTCAAGGTGAGTGCTCTACCACTTGAGCCACAGCGCCACTTCTAGTTTTCTAGTGGTTTATTGTAGATAAGAGTCTCACAGACTTTCCCGCCCAGGCTGGCTTTGAACAGTGATCCTCAGATCTCAGCCTCCTGAGTAGCTAGGATTACAGGCCTGAGCCCACCAGTACTTGACTAGTCAGTGAAACTCTTATCTCTAATCACAGAAAAAGCTGGAAGTGACGCTTGGGGACAGCTTCCAGGTCCCATGACTGGCAAAAATAACAATTAAAAACTTAATTAATGAATAGGTCCAGATAGTTGGGGATAGAGCTCAGTGGCAGAGCATTTGCCTAGCATACCGGAGGCCCTGGATTCCAGCCCCAGAACCAAGAGGAGGTGGAGGATATAGTCCAGATTTGTGTGATAATGCCATAAAGAGATGGAGCCCAGCTGGGCACCAGTGGCTCAGACCTGTAATCCCATCTATTCAGAAAGCTGAGATCTGAGGACTGTGGTTCAAAGCCAATCGGGTCAGGAAAGTCTGTGAGACTTTTATCTCTAATAAGCTACTCCAAAAAGCTATCAGTGGAGCTGTGGCTCAAGTAGTAGAGCCTTAACCTTGAGTAAAAGAAGCTCAGGGAGAGTTCATGCCCTGAGTTCAAGCCCCAGGACTGACACACACACACACACACACACACACACACACACACACACACACACACACACACACACACACACACACAAAGATGGAGACCAGATGCTGGAGTGAGGCTCTGCCCAGGGGCTGGGAAGGTGGCTCAGTGGTAGAGCGCTTGCCTTGCATGCCTGAGGCCCTGGGTTCGATTCCTCAGCACCACATAAGCAAAAAAGAAAAAAAGAGGCTCTGCCCAGGCTTGGAGAGCTCCTAACCTTAAGGCCACCCAGAGGTCACAAAGCTTTTCTCCTGCTCTCCTCGACCTCCCCCACCCCCACCCCCAGATACACACAATAAAGACTTCCGATGACCTGATGAAGAGAAGCAGATACCCAATTAATTTCCATTTTAGACCGAAAGCCCTCCCTCTTCTACCTTTCAAACATGAATTACATACACACTC